AATCACGCGAGAGAAGGAGCTGAGCTGCGGGAGAGGAGCTGAGCTATGGGAGAGGAGCTGAGCTACGGGAGCAGCGGTGGGGCCCAGGCGAGCAGGAGCAGCAGCGAGCCCTGGTGTGTTGTTTGTAGGAAGCCGGTCGCCTTTGGCAGCCGAGGAGGGAAATCCCACCATTCCTTCTGCGTTTCCCACCCGTCCGGCAGCTCCTGAGCAACGTACAAATGCACACTGGCCGTGGATACTTTTAAAACCAAGTGGTTTACTTTTGGGAGCGGAACTGGCTGTGAGCACGGTGTTTTTCTCAACTCCCGGTGGCGCAGTTGACGTGCCGCTTCCTGGAAAGCTGACGGTGGGCTTGCTCTGCTGCCTGCAAGGGTTGCAGCTCTTTTCCTTCCCACCATGGCCCTGTCCTGCACATTGAGGCTTCCGTGCCATCACCTTCGCCCTTCGAGTGCTCTCCTGAGTAGCCTGCCCAGGCAGGACTGCAGGCTGATGTCGGAGAAGAAGTCAGCAGCAAAGTGGAAGCGAGAGAAAAAAGCCAGCGAGGGCTGCAGCCTGCCAGGTTCCTCCTGGGAGGAGAGGTACGGTTCTTTCAAAATGATCAAGCGCTCTTCCACAGCACCAGGTACCTGAAGTGGTTGCAAAGGGGGTTGGGGGCTTGATCCATCCAGCTCTCTCCACCTGGAATAGAAGAGCCAGGACTCTGCTGGCTTCCCTGGAGCTTCACCCAGGGATAGGAATAGTGGAAAAGACAGTCCCAGTAAGCAGGAACAGCAGCTTATCCAGCTATGGGGTGAGGTTCTCCTTGGGCTCTGTGAGTCAGTAGTTGATAAAATAGTTTGGATTATATCGACCTCACCCCTTACTCTGTCTTCTTTCTTTCTTTTTTTTTTTTTTTTTTAAAAAAAAAACCCCAACCAGCACTTTTGTGTTCTTCCTTGCTGTGCCTCCGATGCAAATATTGACAAGTTCCAAGGTTTTTCTCTAAATTGCTGCTCCACAAGTGCCTGGGTCGGTGAGAGTGGGAAGCCTGTAATTCCCTGCCTGATATATAAACTGTGCATTTCACTTTGGGTTTTAGTACAGCAATAGCAAAAAAAGATGTAGTAGTGGCTGGAAACGTGAGCAGGTAGGTGGCGCAGGATGGATGCAGGGTGATGGGAGAAGTGTCTTGCTCTTCCAGGGGAGCACTCCAGGGAGATGAGACTTGGGCTGTCCTCAGAGGAGCAAGGTGGCCAAAGCCTCTGATCCAGTGAGAGAAAGCAGCAGAGCCCCTCTGAAGCTACAACATGATCTCTCTCTTTTTTTCTTTTTCTTTTTTTTTTTTTTCCCTTTTTTTTCTTCCCCCCTACCTTCTGTGCCTGCACTTTGGGTTTTTTCTTTCCCCTCTGATCCCAGTAACGTCCGAGTACTCATTGCTCAGGCTTTACTAGCCTGGACTCAGATCTCACCCAGGGCTCAGCAGGACCTCTCTGGGTCCCTGTGTGGGGGAAACACTGTTCCTGGCCCTGTCCTCTAAAAGGGGATCAGAAGGATACCTGGGTTACCCAGGACACCCAGGCACCACTGGTCAGCCTTCTGCCAAAGGCTCAACCTGTCCTCTGGACATGTGGTCGTCGTGGTTCCCAGGTCCCTCTTCCAGCCCCAAGTATTCTGCACCAGAAAAGTGCTGTGAAAAGGGAATCTGGATGTTCACGGGCAGGTCTGGTGCAGAGCCAGTACCAGAATGATCCTGCCCATGAAGCAGCTGGTGGGGATGTTACACCGCATGTATCAGGAGGTGAGTAGCTCTGGGAACTGCTGTGATGTTGTGCTTTCCAGGTTAACAGACAAGGTGACTCCACTGTGGAGACTTCCCTACCAAGAGCAACTGCAGGTAAGATGTGCTTACATGGACTTTTCTCTGTTTTGTTGCCCCAACTGTTGTTCCGATCGCCCTGGAGCAGCAGCCCCTAGCATCTTAGTCGCTTGGTGCTCTATTCTCTTCCGACCCCATGTATTGCTGCTCTAATTCTTCAGTTATTGTGAACAATAGAACTGGGCGGTTTCCTGCATGTGGTGTGTGTGATCACCAGCAGCACAGAGGATGGGCACCCGCACAATGATCCTATCCAGTGCGGGACAGCTGGTTTACTGGGGCTTCAGGTTGAACCAAGCGCTCCAGGCCAGCACTTGGGGGCCACAGATGCAAGATTTCTCTCTCTCCCCGTTGCTTTAAGCAGCTGCAGTGATGAGAAAGGCAGTGTTCCTCTGGGGCTATATCCCTCTTGCCGTACTCCCTCTTGTTGGCCTTCCCAGAGGTGGGTGATGAAGAGCTGCCCACCGTCACGGGGTCCTGTGAGAGTGTTTCTGGCTTAGGACTCCTCTGCAGGTGAAGTATAAAAGCCAGAGGAAGATTTTGCGGACGCTGGCATCTCGTCTCGAGGAGCTGGGCACAGACGTGCGGAAACCTGGTGGACTCTGCTGTCCTCTCGAGCCTGTAGTCCCTTCGGTGAGTGTCCTGTGGGAATGCTGTCCCCTCGGAGTCACTAACAGTCTCCCACTTGACCCCTGAAGGGTCTCATGGTGGGGGTTACTTGGTTGCAAAGAATGTGCCTGTGGCAGTCCTTGCTAGCTTGGGCTTTGCAGCCTGGGACTGCTGGAGGGTGAAACAAACCCAGTGATTAGGAACCTTTTCTTGTGCCCAAGCTTTCCCTGACAAACTTGCCAACATTCTGTCACATTCTGCCATTTCTTCATCCCACAGGGAAGCACTGGATGCCTCACAGACAAGCTCTGTTCCTGTGTTTTGCACGTTCGTGTATATCTTCCCCTATTGCCAACAGAAAACCCGGCTGGGTTTTGGCTTTCCTCAATTACTTTTCCTTTTAATCCGAGGCTTTGCTTCTCCTTCTTTTCTCTCTCAGCCCGTCATTGATGGCTACCGAAACAAATCTACTTTCTCTGTGAACCGTGGGCCGGATGGAAACCCCAAAACCGTGGGGTTGTACTTGGGAACTGGCAAAGGTCAGCGCAGGACAAGGAGCTGAGTAGAAAACTGCCGGTTGTGGGCTGGGGTGTGGGCAAGGCTCTGCCGTGACAGCCTCTGCCAGTGTTAGAAGCCTAAATCCTGGGAGATGCCAACAGAAACATCGCCAAGTCTGGGGAAGCAAGTTGAAAACCTCAGTTCATTAGCTTCTGAAGAAACACCAGCTTCTAAATTGCTAAATACAAGGATGACAGCTGTGGTAGCAGCCCCTCTAGGATTTAGCTTTGTTATTCTTAATTATGTTGTTTGGGTGGCTTTTTTGGCGTGTTCCGGGAGCCTGCGCTGAGCAGGGAGAGCACGACAGGGTGCGCACAGGCAGCAAAGCAACGTTGGAGCATTCGGGATGCGTGAAGCTGTTCGGTTTTGTGCAATAAAGATGTGACCTGTGTGCCGCTCAGCAGTTCACGCCATCGATACGCGGTTTTGCTTGTCAAAATCCACAGGAAGAGGCATTGGGATGGTCAAAGTGTACGCTTTTTTTCACTGAAAAAATAACTCCGTGGATGGATTCTGCTCTGATAGCAGAAATTTAGCATTTAATCCAAAGTGGGAATGCTGTCTTCCAGGCAACCTAAACTGCTTTGCTGCTGTAAGCTCACGTAATTATTTTCCAGCTGGAAAAGCAGCTGGCTCTGCTCTGGCTCCCTTAGTTTAAGAACAGTGCGGTGGGTCCTTTGGGAGCTGCTAGAGGGCATTTGAGAAAGCTCCTGGAGCTCTAATGAGTGATAGTAATTGCTGGCAAAGGGGAATTCTGGAGTATCCTGCAGCCCGAGAGTACCCAGAACATCACAGGATTTAGTGGGACACTTAGGTAGCAGTTTTGGGTGGTTTTTTCTTCTTTTGGTACAATAGAAGAGTTCAGGGGAAGGGCATCTCTGCAGTTTATCATGTCAGATGCTACTTGTCCTGAAACAAAACAATGAAATATCTGTCTGTCTCTCTCCAGCAAGAAATATCGTTTGTGTGAAGGCCAACCACACAAAGAACATACCCCCGAAACACAAGCAAGTAGCCCAGGTAAAAATAAAAAAGTCTTATCTGTCCCTAGACTGTGGATATTGCGCCTGGACTGCCATAACTTACTTAGGAGAACAATGTAATTTTAGTTGCACTGTGTTTTCAAGTCCGTTTTCATCTCCTGAAAAGTTTCGGGCCAGAATCTGATGGATAAACATTTTTTTTTTTAAACTTGTGTGTTAATGTTGCAGCCTCTAAACTGTCTGAAAGAATGACGTTAATCAAGCACCGACAAATTAAATCTATTAAGCTGCATAAAAATACCGTGCAAGAACTTGGAAAGAATTTTCACTTAGTGTATTGAAATCAAACAGAAAAAAAAATAAATCCCCAGCTGATAGGGGTGTAAGTTTGGGTCGCGCTAATACCGGGGCAGTTGTCTTTGCTGTCCTCGAGTGCTGTTCCCCCTCTGCTCAGTGCTACGAGGAGTTCATCCGTTCCTCCCCGCTGGACCCCTGCCTCCTCTTC